TCTTGGTTTCCTTTTTTTACTTCAGTTTTATACGTCATAGAAATTTCCTAGAAATAGTTAGTATCCTGGCTACCAGATAACATCTCCCAGACATTCTCACACCCAGAAGGGACATAAAGCTCTTGGCAGACCACGGAGTCCGAGTTTCGGTGGGGAGGACGTGGTCAGTGGCTGTAAGGCTGTTACCCCAGACACTCGCCCACCTCTGGATGAAGAGCAGAGGGGGTGAGTGGGAGCGTGGAGGGACGTGGCCCAGCACCTGGTCTTCGGCTCTGGAGTGCTGGGGGCCGGGGCAGCTTTCGGTGGGGAGCGGTCCGGGGAGGTGAGGCTGCTCTCAGGCGCAAGTGGATGTTGACACCACCCCGGCATGGAAGGAGACCCCAGAGCCATATTTTCTTTCTCCAGTTCTGCACAAGTGGCCTTAAACAAAATCCACAAACTGGCTCCTTGCTTCCCCCGGGGCAGTCAATCCCGGAAGCCCTGCCACAGCCCAAGGGCACAGAGGCCACCGTGAGCTGTGTTTCTGTCGCAAAGCAGCTCCGTGTAGCACATTCGCAGCCAACCCCCCGGGGTGGTGCAGGGCTTCTGAGGGCAACAGCATTTCTGGGTCACCGTGGGGCAGGCCTCTGCCTCAGGACACGGACGGACAAGCTCTCCGAGTGGGCCAGGAGCTCCCTAATGTGCGCCAAGCCCAGCCCTGCCACCTTAGCCCCGTTCACCTCGAGGATCTCGTCGCCCACCCCCAGCAGCCCCGAGTACAGCTTGGCCGTGCCCACGTCAGCCATCTCCTGCACGTAGATCCCTGCGAAGGAGAACAGCAGAACTGAGCAGATGAAATGCAAACCACACACACACACACACACACACACACACCCCTCACCAGGCCACCTCCCAACCACAGCTGGCTTCACACACAGACATGGCGAACTTCCTCCAAGGCGCAGCTTCATTTCCAAATGCTGCTTAGTGCAAATAGTGCTTTCAGCTGTTGTTGTTCATTTATATCCCAGTGTGAGTGAACTGACCTTATCTTTTCCTGAAATGAGCTTTTGTTATAGAATAGGGAGGAAAATAATTTTTAAAAATTAAGAACAGTACCTACCAGGCGCCCGGTGCTGTGCTAGGTGGGACCGTAAACGGGACCCAGCACTGCCCTCCGGGACAGCGCAAGGCTGAGGCCAGATCGAAGCCAGCTTGCTTCAGTGCTGTCCAGGAAAGCCCCTGGCCTCAGTCTTGCTCTGATGTGGTTCCTCGGTTAGGATTTGTAGGCGTCTGAGCAAAGGCCCAGGGAAAATAAGAATGCTACCCACATATTTAAAGGCCGAGGTGGCTCGCTCTCCTCTTCTTTGCAGCCCCTCGTCCACCCGAAAGAGGCCCTCCTGGCCAGCGTGACCATTCCCTGGGTCTAGAAGGGCCGAGAGTGAGCCTGGGGGGACCTGCTCTCTGCTCCTGTCCGGGACTCCAGCTCTCAGTGGAGCAGAGGGCCCAGGCTCGGGCAGGCCAGACAGCTTCCCCAGCCTCTTCTGGCCCCCCGCTGAGGGGGCCCCTGCGGCTGGAAGCGTGTCCAACGCCCTGCAGCTGCTCCCAGCTGAGAGACGAAATGAGGGCCAGCATGTCCCCAGGAAGGCTGGAGCCCTGCTGCCATGCTGCATGCTGCTGCGTGGTCACAGGGGTCTGAGGGCACAGCGCAGTGCGCTGGAGGACTGCAGGGCACGCACCGGTGTGGCTGACACCAGCCGGATTCACCAGCGCACTCAGCCTGCCCCAGACACCCTCCCTGCCCCCACCTGGCCAGCTCCACGTTAAAAACACGAGGCAACTTGCCCGCCTGTCCCTGTCTCCACTTCCTTTGTCTAGAATCAGGGTCTCAGCAGGGACCCAAAAGGTCTGGCCTCTGTTCTCAATTTCTGCCTCGAAACCACTCGCTGCACCTGGGACTAGTGCGAGTCCTCTCTCTGGTCCACCCAGCCCCGGAGGAGCTTTGTGCAGCCTGGCTTCTGGTCCCAACGGAGGTCAGGCTTTTCAGAGCCCACCCTCTGGGATTTGGGTTTGAAAATGCACCGATAGCTCCTCCTGCTTCACCTGCAGGTTTGCAGCTCCGGGTCCAGCGAACCCAGTCTTAGCATGCACCCCTCCCCCGTCTGAGGTGCGGACTCCCTCCCGTGCTTCTCAGCCACGGCCACGCTGGGCCTTTTCTGCGGGGCTCGGTCTCCCTTGACAAAGTGTGTCTGTCACCTCGTCTGCACATTTTCTCTCACCCTTGCCCGATTTCTTGCCTTCTCTATCTGGGGTTTGAGCTGCCTGCCTGCCCTGTCTGGTGTTGGTGGCATGGGGCATGGGGAGAGGACAGGAGAGAAGGGGCCCGGGGTGAGCCCGGGGGAGTGGCTGCCGTACAGCAGAACACGGCCACAGCTGGAGCACACGCTGACATCGCTCCGGCCATCTGGGGAGACTTGGGTAGGTTTCGCAACTGAAAGTCATGACAAAAGTATGACAGAGACGGCTGTTGGAGGCAGTCATTGTCTGCTGGACATGGCCTCTGTTAAGGATGCGTGATCTCTATCTTGCAGGCAATCAGAAGCCAAGGCAAAGCCTGCCGTCCGCGTGGGCTCACGTCGAGTCAGATGTAAGTGGCCGCAAGTGAACACCAGAGAACCCAGCTCGCGGAGGTGACCTCTGGCTGTCCGAGTGTGGCCTGTGGCAAGGAGGCCCGGGCACCGAGCATGCTTTGTGTGTGCGAAGATCCCTGCGTGACATCCAGCGGCCCACTGCAGCAGCGGGGGCAGGACGGCACCTGGCAGGACAGGGAAGAGCTCGCACCAGCCCAGGTGAGGGCACCTGGGGAGCCCTGGGTCACTGGAGACCTCTGCCCATCAGAGCTCTGTGGCAGGTGATGGGGGAGAGGCTCCCACCACCTACAAAGAGGCCGAAAGGGACTTGTGGGGAGGCTGCAGGGTCAGAGGGCAGTGCCCTGTTGCGGATGTGCTCAACTGACAGATGAAAGCAGATCGCGCTGGTCCCTGTCTGGGCTTCTGTCCCCCAAATATACCTTCTCTTTCTGAAGAGGGAAGCGAAGACACGTGCCAGGCACTTTCCTATACCCCTTACCGAATGTTCCTTACGACTCCTCTGGGTAGCTTTTATTATCCTCATTTCACAGATTAGGGAACTGAGGCTCAGAAAGGGTGAGTCATCTGCTCCAGGTCACACAGCCAGCAGAGGTGCTGGAGTACAAACCCGGTATGTTGTCTAACTCTGTGACTTCACGATGCTGTCTAGGAGGGCCTGTCCCGCCTCACCTGCGGGAGAGGAGGCTACGGGAAAAGGCGGGGTGGCCGACAGCCTGGAGAGTATTTTCTGATGATCAGTCTGTGTTCACAAATGTCACCTCCCTGTGAGGACAGGCATTTTACTCTCCTGAGGTCTAGAGTGGGGAGAGATCTGTCCTCTCTTCCTCTCATGCTCTTGTCTAATCCGTCAGCAAACTCAGGTGAAACTACCTTCAAATCAGCCAGAATCCACCTGCTTGTCACCATTTCCATGGCCACCCCCAGTCCGAGCCACCATCGTCTCTCTCCTGGACTACTGCAATGGCTTTAACACTGGTCTTCCTGGCTGTAGCTTCGTCTGTCCCACTAGAGTCTGTTCTCAACAGAGTGTCAGCAGCCCTGTTGCAGGTGTACATCAGCGTGCCCGTCCTCTGCTCTGAGCCCTCCCGTGGCTTCCATCTCACTAGGCAGAAAGCCAAAGCCCCTCACAGCGGCACAGCCCCGCCATCCTGAGCTCAGCTCCTCCCTCCCCCTCACCCACTCTGCAATGTCCCGCCTGACCTCACCGCAGTTCCTCCAACCAGCCAAACTCACCCGCGCCACAGGGCCTTTGCACTTGCTGTTCACCCAGCCTGGAGTGCTCTTCCCCCAGACCCACACATGGCTCCTCCCTCAGTCCATCCACGTCTCTGCTCACGTGTCATCTTCTCAGAAAGCCACCCACCCTCCTGTCTATAGGAGCAGCTGCCATGCCTGCTGTATTTGTATGTTTCTCAGTATTTTCACTGTCTGACATATGCAACACATAATGCATAAAAGCACACTTTTGTAGATACAGTCTAGCTCCCTCACTAGCACGTATGCTCATGGGGCAGGGACTTCGTTGCATGTACCGCTGTATTCCTAATGTCTTCAACACGTAGGAAGTGCTCAATGCATATTCTCTGAAACAGTGAATGATGGAACAAACACAGAAACTCATGCTGTAGTCTGCAAATCTGGCAGCGGGCAGATTTTTTTCCAGGCTAAACAACTCTGATCCAGGAGATCAAAGCGCAGAGCCAGCCCCTCCCCGGCAGAGCCCGGCCACAGCAGGCCTCTGAGCACGGCTCTCTTGTCTGTGTCTCCCTTCCCCTTCCTTCCTCTCCCCTCCTTCCCTACGCATCTCACTGGGAGTGTGTTTCAGGGTCCCTTGCCCTGAGGTGCCGTCTGGACCGCAGACCTGGGGTAAGGGCCCGGGCAAGTCACGTCGCCCTGAAAGACTCATGGATGGGGCGAGGCTGAGAACGGGCCGGAATGCAGAGTGATGTCCCTGCTCCTCACTGCCCCTGCCAGGGCTAAATCGAGACCCAGCGGGCAGCCCAGCCAGGGGCCGGAGCCAGGCTGCATCTGAGCACAGCCCTCCGGCGCCTCCACACGCCCAGATGTCCTCAGCAGCTGGAGGAAGGGAACCGTTTCAGGCATCAGCCACATCAAAGGGATGCCGAGACCGGCAAGCACAGACAGCTTCCCTCTGGCTCTCCTCTGAAAACACGGCCTTCAGGATTCTGATTTCCAGATGTCATCAGACAGCCAGGGGACAGTGGAGGCCGACCTGCCAGCTCCGCCCGCTCCTGCAAGCCCAGGCCGTCTCAGAGCCGCAGCTGCCCAGAGCAAAGGCGCTGCAGGTGCGGACTCCTAGGCGGCCCTGGACAATTCAGGAGGAGCCCCTGCGGGGAGAGCTCTAGTCCTTTAGCCGAGAGGCTTTCTGAATTCATAGAACCGCACTGCTTCGCCAAGAACCAGAAAAGCCTCTGACCACAGCCAGAAGGACTTGCCGAGGCCCCCATGGCCGTGCGGCCCTGGAAGGGGACAGGACATACCTGAGTCCCTGCGCCCATTCCCAGAAGCCACACAGAAGCCGAAAGTGCCCTCCGGGGGGCGCTGTAGCTGCAGCTGGCTCGTGCCATCCGGGAAGACCTCCACCACGCGGCCCACGGTGCGAGCCAGGCTGGGGGCACCCACGTCCTCCACGCTGAGGGCACGCCGGGGCGGAGCCTTGGCTGGCCTGCGAGGAGACCAGAGACAGGGGGAGGGCAGAGGGTCAGGCACCAGGCCCAGCCCTTCCCTGGCTCACAGGTGACCAAGGCATCTCAAACCTAAGAGTCTGGCATTGGAGGCTGGAGTTCCACTGACTTCAATCAGCAAAAAGAGCCAGCTAAGGCCAAGATCAGGGGGTTCCCACAGCTGTCCGAGGCCCCTCAGAGCCTGCTGCAGAACCAGAGAGCACACCCTCCCCAAAGCAGTGTTTTCTCAGTGTTTGGGTACAGAGACCTCTCTGAGAATCTGATGGAAACTATAATTTCATATAAAATTTCCAGAAGTTAAAGGAACCCCAGAAAGCCATCCACGGAGCCCAGGTAAGAGCAGCTAGTCTAGAGGGTGGGATTGTTGAGGCAGGTTGTAGGTCAAGAGCCTCTTTGGGGGTCCATGTCTCTGTGTGTTTAATCGGATCTTTAGCCAGGTAAGGAAACTCTCAGAACCTGATTTCAAGATGTCATCAGATGGCAGAGGGACAGTAGAGTCAAACCTGCCAACTCTACCCCCTCCAGCACGCCCAGGCCTTCTCAGAGCTCAACTGCACAGGGCAAGGGCACTGAGATGAGGCTCCGAGACTCCATGGCACCTTGTCTGTCCACATGGGATGTGTTGAAGGGGAGGGAGACAGGTTGCCTGCCTCCCTTTCTCTTAAAGAGCCCTGCTCAGCGCCATGATGCTGAGACAGGAAGGCATTAAGCTTCTAGCTCCCGGGCCATAGTCTGAGTTTAGCCTCCCAGCTGCGTGTGCCCACTCTTACCTGCCAGCTGCCCTGTGGTCCCCTGGCCCCTCTACCAGGTAGAGGCTGGACCGATCCCCTTTGCCGCTCAGCAGAGAATGGAGGTTCTGAAAAGAGGCAGCTTTCCGATGTTGGCGAGAGGGCGACACCTGATGGGGAAGGCCCAGTATTGCAGGTGAGAAAAGCCGCCTGGGAAGAAGTCGACAGAGGACGTGATCCTAACCATGACCCCGAGAGCCCGCTAAGAAACCGACCCCACAGGCTTCTGTCAGTCCTTCCAAGTGCTCAGTAGGAATCACCATAACTTACTTAAGGACATGGGCCTACACAGGCCAGCTGAAGCTTCAAGTTTTGGGTTGTTTTTTTTTTTCCTAATTTTACTTAAAATAACAACTTAGTGCTATAATACTAATTATGTCATTGATTAAGAAATGCTCATTTTCTCATTGATTAAGAATAAAGTGAAAGCACATGAATTATAGAATAATAAATACAATTTTAGAGTTAAGATCCTAAATATTATTTTGTGATTCTTTAGCATCTATTTTTTTTTTTTTTTTTTTTTTGAGACAGAGTCTCACTCTTTTGCCCAGGCTAGAGTGAGTGCCATGGCATCAGCCTAGCTCACAGCAACCTCAAACTCCTGGGCTCAAGCGATCCTCCTGCCTCAGCCTCCCGAGTAGCTGGGACTACAGGCATACGCCACTATGCCCGGCTAATTTTTTCTATATATTTTTAGTTGTCCGATTAATTTCTTTCTATTTTTGGTAGAGACGGGGTCTCGCTCTTGCTCAGGCTTGGTTTCGAACTCCTGAGCTCAAACAATCTGCCCGCCTCGGCCTCCCAGAGTGCTAGGATTACAGGCATGAGCCACCGCGCCCGGCCTTTAGCATCTATTTTATGATCACTTTTGTCCAAACATTTTTATCTAATTAAGTACCTTAAATATTGTGCATAAAGAGACAGATAAGACAAAAATTCCCTCAGGGAGTTCACAGAATGATGGGGGCAGGGCGGAGCACAGATAAGTTAAAGGCTCTCAGTGCACGATAAAAGGACGATGACGTGTAGCAGAGAACGGCTCTGGTCCACGAGGTCTGGGACACTAGAGGAGCTGACGCTGCAGCAAGAGCCCTCCAGGCGGGGGCAGAGGTCAAAGTGCGCTGGGGGCAGAGGTCAGAGTGTGCTGGGCAGAAGAAAACAGTATATGCAAAGGCAGAGAGAGATGGGAGAAAGCGTGGAATGTTCTGGAACGTGCATGTGGTCTGGGTGGCTAGGGTGAAGAAGTTGTGGGAGACGGCTGGAGCCAGGGGGCCAGACCTAGAAGGACCTGATACACCCTGCCAAGGAGCTCCTGAGTGATGTTAATATGGGCGACAAAATCAGACCTGTGTTCTAGAAAATGACCCAATCAGAGGCAGTTCTGAAGGTGGGGGGGTGGGCATTGGAGACAGAGGCAGGGAGATGCAAACTCTTAAACACATACTACACACATTGTTTATTATATCTGGAATTGTGTTGTTACGGTCTGAATGTTGTGATCTCCCCAAATTCATATGTTGAGACCTAATTGCCAAGGAAGTAGCTGCCTTGGGGGGTGATGAGGTCGTGAGGGCAGAGGCCTCATGGAGGGGAGTGGTGCCCTTCGAAGAGGCCCCAGAGACCCCTTATCCCTTCTACTGTAGCAGGTGCAGTGAGAAGAAAGCCACCTATGAGGAAGCCCTCATCAGACACTGAATCTGCCGGCACCTTGATCGTGGACTTCCTGCCGCCAGATCGATGAGAAATAAACCTCTATTGTTTACAAGCCACCAGGTTACCGCATTTTGTTACAGCAGCCTGAATGGACTAAGAGTGCTCTGGACTAAGAGGGGGCCTGACCTCGTACCCGAGCTCAGGAAGGCTTCCTGGGAGAAGTCATGGCGAACTCTGACCTGAAGGATGAGCAGGGGTGTCCTAGGGGAGAGGAGAAGGAAGGAGAACCTTCCAGATGCAGGCTCAGTGGCCCAGCAGGAAGGGGTGCAGCCCATGAGAGGACATGGGACAGCCAGCGCAGGTGCGGGGAGAGCAGGGCGGCCGCCCCCACGGGAGGGCAGAACGAAAGCAAGCCAGCCAAGCACCTTGTCACCAAACACACACTGGGCAGCATGACATGCCAACAGCTGGTATTTCACCCCGAGATATGTCATAGATATTTCCGAGTGAGGCAGATCCTTCTTTTCTTTTTTTGAAAATGTCTTCTTTTTCTCAGTTCTTGAAAATGTCCCTCTGCTGGTCAGTCCTCCCTGCTCTTGCTCCCTGCCTTTCTCGGCCAGACGACCTTCTACCTTGGCCCCCTCGGCTTGAACTGCCCATGAACCTCTGCAGCGCACTAGCAGTGTGGTCCTTCCCTCCAGGTGTTTGCAGAGGTGAACGTTCTGACGGCGATGACTCCGGGTGCCACAGCTCAGACGCAGGCTGGACGAATCTAACTTCACGCGGAAAGTGGCTCCCAGAGCACGAGTCACTGCCGCTACCTGCCCCAGCCTACAGCCGCTGCTTCTGTTCCTTTGCCTTCACTCGTTCAACTGGCAAATGCTGACCGTCACCGAGCACCACGTGTAGCAGGGACTGTCCTGCTGAAAGACCATCCGTGGGGTTTTCATTCGGCCTGCGTTCTCTTCCCCACCCCGTGCATGGGAAATGGGGGGCTGCGGCGCCCCAAACCGCGCGCACCTACTTCATTCTGCCCGGGCAGGGGCAGGAGGAGGAGGAACTTAATACCTGGAAACTGCGTGGCACGGAACAGCACACTGTCACCGAGCACGCTGCTGTTGGCTGCTGACACTCCAGCACGCGGGAGGAGGAACTTTAGCTAGCTGTGCTGCGTTCACTCATTCATTCATTCATTCATTCGCTCAGTGTATATGGAGCCATCATACTAGCCCTTGTCATAGGCATTGGGAATATACAGATCGAGTGATGTTGCCTCAAATAGGTCACACTCCAGTGAGGGGAGAGCGACAAAAATCAGTTAAAATACCACGTGACAAGTTCCATGAAAGAGAGAAGCACAGGGAGAAATGGGGACACAGAGCGGGGCCCCGGCTCAGCCTGAGGGAAGGTTGGGAATGGCTTCGGGGGGAGCCGGGGAGAACGGATCTCAGCAGGTGGAGAAGGTGGGGGATATCTCGGGTGCAGATTCAACGTTAGACAGTGTGTGACCCGGACACAGAACTGCAAGGGGGTCCGGTGTGACCGGGGGCAGGAGTGTTGAAAGGAGAGGGACCAGGGACGAGAGCAGACTGACCACAGAAACTCCGTGGCAACTCCAAGTGGTCCGAACTTTACCTCGAAGGCCACGAGGGCCCAGCGACAGATGTTCAGCAAGGGGGTGGCATGGCCAGATTTGCACATCAGAAAGTCCACTCTGGGAGCCAGATGGAGAAGGACCCCGGCAGGGAGGACAGCCTCTGTTGAGGCTGTTGAGGTGATCCAGGTGTGAAGTGATTTGTGCCTGGACTCAGAGGGTCACTGTGGCCATGGAGAAGGTTCCGGAATGACCAGGCCACCAACTCACCAGCACTTTGCAGAGGTGGCAAAGTTGAGGGAGAGGGAGAGAGAGGAGTGTAGGATGGGCCCAGGCTCGGGCAGCTGGGTGCAGGAGCAGAGGTGGGGACGCCACCCACCCACCCCGTGTCCCGGGGAGCCCAGCTCTCACAGGCCCACTGTGGGGATGCCAGCAGCTTCCCGGCCTCTACCTCGGGCTCCTTGGGAGGCCTCCTCAGCACTTCTTCTCTGTTTTCACCACCACTGGCCTCCCAGCCCCTCAGCCGGGACCCTTGGGACTCACCAGGTGCAGGGACTGTAACGACGGGGCTCTGGCGTGTGACGCGTGTGACGCGGGGCCGGCCTCGGCGTGGTGCAGCTGCTCCACACTGTAGCTGCGGGACTTGCCCAGCTTGGGCCGGGGACTCTGGCCCAGGGCCGAGAAGAACTTTTTCAGCCCCAGGGTGGAGACGATGCTGCTCCTTCTCTTGTTCTTGTCAGACGGGGCAGCTGAGGGTGAGCCGGGTCCGGCGCCGGCCCCCGGCAGTGCTCTGCAACACAAGCGTGGACGTGAGGCGTGCTGGACGGGGCCAGGAGACTGCACCCAGGGGCCCGTGGGCCCCAGATGGCTGACACCAATGCCCCTGGCCCTTTGGGGCCAGGAACTGGCACCCAGACTGCAGAAAGGCTGAGTGAGCTTCTGCCAGATGCTCTGCTTGGGGAGCTTTAGGGAGAATAGCTTGGGCAAGCCCCGTGCCATAACACTCAGCTATGCATTCACTCATTCATTCGGTATTTGCTAAGGGCCCACTGTGTGCCAGCCTCTTCTAGGCCCTGGGGTATGCAGCATGCAAGACAAACAAGGCCCTGACTCTCAGGAGCTGATAAACAACCGACCAGCAAACACAGGAGAGAAACCATCAGCAGCCGACGTGTAGGGTGGAGCAGAGGAAGACCAGGTGCTTGCTCTAAACAGAGTGGCCGGGGAAGGTCTCCTGGGAAGATGAGCTTTAAACCGAGAGCTGGACGGCAAGAAGGAGCCAGCGCTGCCGAACCGGAGCGAGGCATCCAGGTGCAGGAACAGCTGTGCCGCAGCCCGAGGGCAGGAAAGGCTCGGTGCGTCCAGGATCATAGAGGCACCAGGCCACTCGGGCTGGGCGTACGTGACGAGAAGGGGGAAGGAGTCCAGGTGGGGTCAGGCGGGCAGGCCGAGGCAGGCTACACTGAGCAAGATCAGCCCCGGTTAGGGGTTTGAATTTTATACCAAGTGAGAGGAAAAAGCACTGCAGGGTTTAAGCAGGAGAATGACGCCATTTAACCAAGATTTTAAAAAGATACCCTGGGCCGGGCGCGGTGGCTCAC